TACCTCCATCACTCCAGTATCCCAGCACATTGTAAATATGGTATTGGAACTGACCCTGTATACAGTATGCTTACTTACTTATTGTGTTCTTCATATTTATTATTTATTGTTTTTATTTCTAGTATTACATCGTTATTGATTATTGCATTGTTGGGTTTTGAGATTGCAAGAAAGGCATTTCACTGTATTGTGCATGTGATATTAAAACTTGAAACTTGGAAGTATTATTTTCAATGATTGTGTCAATCATCAGTTGTATCAAGGTGTCAGTAGCGCTCTTTATCAGCATATACAGTGCCTTGCAAAAGTATTCATCCCCCTTGGCGTTTTTCCTATTTTGTTGCATTACAACCTGTAATTTAAATTGATTTTTATTTGGATTTCATGTAATGGACATACACAAAATAGTCCAAATTGGTGAAGTGAAATGAAAAAAATAACTTGTTTCAAAAAATGCTACAAAATAAATAACGGAAAAGTGGTACATGCATATGTATTCACCCCCTTTGCTATGAAGCCCCTAAATAAGATCTGGTGCAACCAATTACCTTCAGAAGTCACAGAATTAGTTAAATAAAGTCCACCTGTGTGCAATCTAAGTGTCACATGATCTGTCATATGATCTCAGTATATATACACACCTGTTCTGAAAGGCCCCAGAGTCTGCAACACCACTAAGCAAGGGGCACCACCAAGCAAGCGGCACCATGAAGACCAAGGAGCTCTCCAAACAGGTCAGGGACAAAGTTGTGGAGAACTACAGATCAGGGTTGGGTTATAAAAAAAAGATCAGAAACTTTGAACATCCCTTGGAGCACCATTAAATCCATTATAAAAAAATTGAAAGAATATGGCACCACAACAAACCTGCCAAGAGAGGGCTGCCCACCAAAACTCACAGAGCAGGCAAGGAGGGCATTAATCAGAGAGGCAACAAATTGACCAAAGATAACCCCGAAGGAGCTGCAAAGCTCCACAGCGGAGATTGGAGTATCTGTCCATAGGACCACTTTAAGCCATACACTCCACAGAGCTGGGCTTTACGGAAGAGTGGCCAGAAAAAGCCATTGCTTAAAGAAAAAAATAAGCAAACACGTTTGGTGTTCGCCAACAGGCATGTGGGAGACTCCCCAAACATATGGAAGAAGGTACTCTAGTCAGATGAGACTAAAATTGAGCTTTTTGGCCATCAAGGAAATGTCTGGCGCAAACCCAACACCTCTCATCACCCCGAGAACAACATCCCCACAGTGAAGAATGGTGGTCGCAGCATCATGCTGTGGGGATGTTTTTCATAGGCGGGGACTGGGAAACTGGTCAGAATTGAAGGAATGATGGATGACGCTAAATACAGGGAAATTCTTGAGGGAAACCTGTTTCAGTCTTCCAGAGATTTGAGACTGGGACGGCGGTTCACCTTCTAGCAGGACAATGGCCCTAAGCATACTGCTAAAGCAACACTCGAGTGGTTTAAGGGGAAACATTTAAATGTCTTGGAATGGCCTAGTCAAAGCCCAGATCTCAATCCAATTGAGAATCTGTGGTATGACTTAAAGATTGCTGTACACCAGCAGAACCCATCCAACTTGAAGGAGCTGGAGCAGTTTTGCCTTGAAGAATGGGCAAAATCCCAGTGGCTAGATGTGCCAAGCTTATAGAGACATACCCCAAGAGACATGCAGCTGTAATTGCTGCAAGAGGTGAATAGTTATGCACGCTCAAGTTCTGTTTTTTTTTGTCTTATTTCTTGTTTGTTTCACACCAAAAAAATATTTTGCATGTTGTGTAAAGCAAATGATACAAACCCCCAAAAAATCAATTTTAATTCCAGGTTGTAAGGCAACAAAATAGGAAAAATGCCAAGGGGAGTGAATACTTTCGCAAGCCACTGTATTTCCTGTTACCAAGTCATTTACGGTTTCTATGCCTTTAGTTTTCCATGTGGACCAATTTATCGGTGAATTCTGAAAGGCTATCCAAGGATTGTTCCGTAAGGTTGTGTTTTTAGGGAGTGATATTGGTTCTTGTAGAATATGTTTAATTTTCTTACATATTGTTATAGTGTTCTTAACTATGAAGTTGTTAATGTTCGTAGTTTTATCCTTAGCTTGCTTGGTGGTGCCCCTTGCTTAGTGGTGTTGCAGACTCTGGGGCCTTTCAGAACAGGTGTATATATATATATATACTGAGATCATGTGACAGATCATGTGACACTTAGATTGCACACAGGTGGACTTTATTTAACTAATTCTGTGACTTCTGAAGGTAATTGGTTGCACCAGATCTTATTTAGGGGCTTCATAGCAAAGGGGGTGAATACATATGCACGCACCACTTTTCCATTATTTATTTTTTTGTATTTTTTGAAACAAGTAATTTTTTTCACTTCACCAATTTGGACTATTTTGTGTATGTCCATTACATGAAATCCAAATAAAAATCCATTTAAATTACAGGTTGTAATGCAACAAAGTAGGAAAAACGCCAAGGGGATGAATACTTTTGCAAGGCACTGTACATTTATTTTCATGACAGAATTAAAAAGTAATTTTGGACTGACCAATGTAGATAGTTTCAAATACAATTTCGATTTGAAGTCTTTTGGACATCAGAGCAAACTTGACGGAATCTTATTTGAATCAGAAAAGGATGTTCATATGATAGAGAAGACATACAAAACCTTGCAGAGAGCATATCCAACTGAAAATCTCTTAGAAAAAAAGGAACTATTGGAACCAAGATTTAAAAATAACTGATGTTGGCACAAGATGTACGCTTAATGCAGTATAAACTAATGTATAAATGTATTATACAAGAGACAAAATTCACAAATTCTACAGCACAACGGCAAAAACTAATAATGACTCAATAATCCATGATTTCTGGGAATTGTACAAAGTCCAAAAGTTATTGACGGATTCAGAAAGTTGGCTGTCAGAAGTATTACAATGTAAACTTACTTTTAATCTCTCTATCTGCATATTTCAAGACATGGCATATGGGGGTGTAGTGAGAAACCCAATGGGCTGGACGATTCTCTTCTCATCACTCATCTTGAAAAAATTTACACAAAAAACTTGGAAATGAATCAATCTGCCATCATAAACACAATGGAAAAATGTAATGATTTATTATTGAAATATTGCAATAGCATGGGCGAACGAGAAACTAATTGGTACAATTGAAGGCCAAGTGGCAAACAATAATGCAGGCACTTGGGATGGGGGTGTGAGCATGCGGGCCTGGGCAGACGAGATGTAGTCAGTTGTTTGTGTGCATCTAGGTTGTTGTTCCTATACATTTGTATCTGGTGTGAACAAATATATTTACAAAAATATAATGACAAAAATATATAATAAAATAAATAGATGAAACAAGCACAGTTAAAATCCAAACTGGACAAAATGTATTTAAAACTGCATGTGGCGCTTTCACATGTCATCAAGGCTAAACATATTGAATATTGCAAACAGAAATGTACAGTAGCCTAATGTCCATTATTAACAATTTAGACTAACGGATGTTCTTTGTATCTATTCCTCATTAGAAGCATAGAATAAGAGGGCTACTGTTTGTAATTTGATAAGTTGCGTCAATTCAAATCTGGTATTTGTGAACAAAAGAGGTCATTACACAGTCTCCAAGTTAGTCTAGTATTTATTAATGCAAATGCTTAAATGGTAAGTATGAGAGTTCGTATACGGGCTCACTGAAATACCACACAGGGCAGACAGAGAACTGGTCCATTGTTCTAAGTTCTTCCCTAAATACTCTGACAGAGATAGTTCACGCTCCCTGCTGGCCTATCAGAGTAGAGACTGAGCGTGGTTTAGACTTACTCAGTCTATCGTTGGCGCACAGGCTGGTCCCAGTCCCTTGGCGCTTCACTGTTGCCAGGTGTTGGTTGTTCTGCACTCGTCCAGAGAGTCAGCCCCCATAGACACAGTTCCCCTGTACTCTTTGTACCTACGTCCTTGGACGGTTCACAAAGAGGCAGTGTTCGTGTATGTGAGACACACGTTCTTATCTCCCCCTACTCCCTAACAGCTCCTCACATTAATCACAGCTTGTTAGGTTAAACAATTTATATCAGTACAGTACAAACCTTTTATGTTTAATCATTAATGCATTCTTTCTAAGCTAGGCATCACATCTAGTTATAAGAAAATTATTTCCCACAAATTCTGTGACTTGATTCTTTCTTTAGCCTTATTACAGCTATCACACCAATGCTCAAAGCACAAGGGATTGTGGACCTGCCTCCATAAGTAAGTTCTCTGTTCTGTGCTTACTATACATACATACATAATTTATGAATTTCATTCACAACAGAGGGCCTCTCATCACATTCAGGCAGTTCTGAGGACACCTGTCAGACAGATGACCGCCTCTTAAAATAGGGTGGGAGCAATAGGGATCAGGTACTTACAGTATTTATGTCTGTAACATGGTAATCAGATAGCATCAGATGTATTGTAACACAATACTACATGTAACAAACAACCACTGTGAAATAGCCTTCTAATTATTGCTGTCTTCAGGGTTTGGGTCGTCAGTGGAAAAGGAGACATTTTACATTTACATTTTTAGTCATTTAGCAGACGCTCTTATCCAGAGCGACTTACAGGAGCAATTAGGGTTAAGTGCCTTGCTCAAGGGCACATCGACAGAATTTTCACCTAGTCGGCTCGGGTATTAGAACCAGCGACCTTTCGGTTACTGGCACAACGCTCTTAACCACTAAGCTACCCGCTGCCCCAGACGGAGGTGAGAGGTCGACACAGCAGGAGCGCCACACCCGACGGCGACAGACACCATCTGTCAGCAAATACTGCTCCTCAGAGAAGAGAACACAGAGTAATTAAGTGAAACCTTAGTTTACCTGGACTCTTAGCCTAGAAGAGGAACTGTTGTGTATACTCATGTTTATGAGCTAGTTCCTTGAGCAAGGTATTGGACCATTCTTAAACTTTTCCTATCCCTTTAATTTGTTATTGCAGGAACCACGTCAGAATCCAGGAGGAATGAGGGGTAACTCCATCCACACAACAAGCAAGGGCATAAACAATGACGTGTGTAAAGAAATACACTATCCAGTTGGTAAGGTAGGAACGTTCCCCTATGTTATTATTTCTTTGAGTACTTGTATGAAGTATATAATTTTCTGCCCTCTCATTGAAGTTACTTTTAAGCAATTCCGAGTATGCCACAGTGTTACTACTCACAGTGCAACAACATAATAATGCACCGACATGCCATGATATTGCTCTGAAACATAGATAGAACAACTTCTCTCCAATGGCTGGCGTGTTATCACATTCCGCAATGGAACTAGAAAAGAGATCAATGCTGACCAGAACTCAGTAAGTCACATTCTTCAATGGAGATGTCAAACACATACTGGCAGATTTTTTTCACCTTATTAACCAGTAACGTGAAAGGTCCTTAAACTGGACCTCAAGTAAAGCAAGTGGCAATAAACAACACAAGTACATGGCGAAACAACATTCAAAATCTAAGCAAGAAACAACAGAAATTATAACTTATTTACCGGATTTGCAAAGTAGAACTTTTGGTTCAGTAGAGCATAAAGTATGGCTATAGTGCAAACTTCTATCTTAAATTGTTATTGAGGACACGTGAATGCTAGATGTGGGACCAACAACATGTGCAATAAATACTGGAGTGAAAAGAAATAATATACATTGGGTAGGTAGAATTCCAGGTTGGGAAAGTTGTGAGTCCTATGTCGTCTTGAGGACTATGCCAGTATTTAAACTGTAAGGAATGCCTTAAAGCTGGAATCCTTAATGGTGAAACAGCCATGTCCGTTTGGGATATTACAACAACAAAGAAGTTACTGCAAACAACAAACACTTTTTTTTCCCTCTGACATCATTTCACACGCGATAGAACAGCAGAATATGTATTGCAATTTTTTTACCACGCAGCCAGACACTTCTCTTCTCCGTTTCATCAACAAAACTAAAACAATAACAAAGGAGCTGGGGGTATACAGTGGCGCTGTTTCCCCAAATGCGGATTAGATCTTTAAAGAGATGTGCATTTTCATAACTTGTACCCATACCACATACCCAACTGGTTTGGAGGTCCTGTAATTTCCAAACAACCAGATGGATGATATTTTTTAAGAAAGCTCTAATCTGATAGACATTTTCAGAGTGACCAGGTATAGACACAAATACCACAAAATGTATTAATTTGTTTTCTGTTGAGAAACACCACCCTGATGGAAAGAGGGGGAGTACCTCTATCCTGATGGCAGAGAGGAGAGCATCTTCCCAGATGGAACAGTGGTCAATGTGATGTGGTGGTGTTGAAGGAGTCAGGTGCAGGAGGGTAAATCACAGAAAAACAAGCTTTAATCCGCAAAATACAGGTTTACGCAGAACTGCGTCAAACACACTCCAGGGCACAAAACAGGTGCACTGGAAAATACAAGGCACACGAGAAAATACTCCCGTCGAACAAAATACACGAGCTCCACCGAGCTTCACTAACCTTCACAATAAACAATCACCCACAAGGACAAGGGGGCAGAGGGAACACTTATACACTGACTAATTAGGGGATTAGAACCAGGTGTGTGTGATAACGAGACAAGACAATTGTGATGATGATTGGGGCGGCAGTGGTTAGTACTCCGGTGACGACGAACGCCGAAGCCGGCACGAACAAGGAGGGGAGGCAGGCTCGGCCGAAGTCAGTCAAGTTCTCAGAGTAAGACACACATACTTAGCTCTATTTTATGTAGGGTAAAAGTCTTAACAGCTGCTGCATTTTTGTACACTGAACCAAAATCTAAACTCAAGTGTTGGTCCCATGTTTTGTTAGCTGAAATAAAATATCCCTGAAAATTTCCATTTGCACAAAAAGCTTATTTCTCTCAAATTTTGTGCACACATTTCTTTACATCCCTGTTAGTGAGCATTTCTACTTTGCCAAGATCATCTATCAAGAAGCTGATTAAACAGCATGAACATTACACAGGTACACCTTGTGCTGGGGACAATAAAAGGCCACTCTAAAATGTGAAGTTTTATTACACTACCCAATGCAACAGATGTCTCAAGTTTTGCGGGAGCGTGCAATTGGCATGCTGACTGCAGGAATGTCCACCAGAGCTGTTGCCAGAGAATTGAATGTTAATTTCTCTACCATAAGCCGCCTCCAACATAATTTTAGAGAATTTGGCAGTACGTCCAACCGGCCTCACAACCGCAGACCACATGTATGGCGTCATGTGGGCGAGCGGTTTGCTGATGTCAACGTTGTGAATAGAGTGCCCCATTGTGGCAGTAGGGTTATGGTACCGGCAGGCATAAGCTACGGACAATGAACACAATTGCATTTTACCGATGGCAATTTGAATGCACAGAGATACCGTGATGAGATCCTGAGGCCCATTGTCATGCCATTCATCCACTGCCATCACCTCATGTTTCAGCATGATAATGCAGAGCCCCCATGTCGCAAGGATCTGTACACAATTCTTGGAAGCTGAAAATGTCCCAGTTCTTCCATGGCCAGACATGTCACTCATTGAGCATGTTTGGGATGCTCTGGATTGACGTGCACGACAGCGTGTTCCAGTTCCCGACAATATTGACTGATTTTCTTATATGAACTGTAACTCTTTGAAATTGTTGAAATTGTTGCATGTTGTGTTTCAATTTTTGTTCAGTATATTTTGTGTGTGTGTGTGTGGGGGGAGAAAACAGTGGAGTTCAACAATGGCCAAAAAGAGATCCATACGTCCCGCTAAAAGCAGAAGGAATACCCTGATGGAACAGTGAAGACAGTGTATTCCAATGAAAGGCAAGAGACAATGTTCCCTTCAGGCAGAGTTCGCATTAAGGACAAGGATGGCCTTATCATAATAGACAAGAAATGAGGATCAGCTGTTTATATTTCTTTTTCAAACCTTTATACCAAATGATCAGTGCTACATAATGTTTAACTATAGCTATTTCCCTGTGGAATATTTGATGTTTTTCTAAGTGCATTTGTGTAAACCAATATGTTTAAGTTCTGTATGTTTATTATCTATAAATCATTATTGTACAGGAAATATGTAACACTAGTCAATACATTACATTTGCAGTCAAACTATTTTGTAGAGATCTATGAATGTCCGTACTTCTCTCTTTAAAGAATGGATTTCTTATTTTGCAACATGGCAATTATATAACCTTCTTGACCTCTTCGTTTGTGTCAGCAGGATTCTTAGGTTGCACAGAATGGCAGATTATTCATGAGGTCCCCACATATACTGTAGGGTAGGGCTAATAACCTACTGACCTGACCTGATAACAACTAGTATGACTTTAGCTCCTGTGGTTTAACATGGCCCAGCTGAAGAAGAAATCAGGGACTTAATGAGTTACTTGTAGTCCATTTAGAAACAGTTATACTGTTTCACAAGCAATTATCTAATGAAGAATGGGACTGTAGTTTAACATGTAACCACTGCAATTTGTATTTATGTATGTTCTATTAGATATACTGTAGATACAAAATAGGTTATTTGGAAATTGTGGACAAATGACAAGGTTGCTTTTCCATATCATGTGATTTTTTTATATTGTATATAATTTAGTTTTTTTACACTAATGTTCAAAATAAATTAAAAATACATTATTACAAAAGCTTTATTACAAAAATGTCCAGTTGCTCAGTTAGTGGCACTCACTAAGAAGAGGTGGTCACCAAAACAGAGACCCAAACTTATTTTTTTCTTCAATCTATCAAAATCATCTTTCCTCCCTCTCATCTCTTTGTGGCTACAACCTGATGCTAGCTGGCTGATGAGCTTGTGAACCTCGTGGACTGCAGTCTTAACGTTGAGCTTGTCCTGCGATGCCTTCAGAGTGACCTCATTGAAATGAAACGTTGGTATGATATCTCCCACACAGAGTGGTGGGGTGCTCTTGTCTTGGCTTTTAGGGTCCCATGGGAATTTAGGAGTCTTGTACTATTGAATGTGAATGGGAGGTAGCTTACAGTAGGCCACTGCTGGTTTCCTTGAAGTCTGATGCAGTCTATCATGTGTTGACAGGTCTCTGTCTCTATGTCTGTAACCTCAGACCACTGGATGGCCTCTGTCATCTGTGAGAGCACCAGATGTGTCTTTCTGTTTCCAGTTACAGTTGCAGTCTTTGAATGTGGGATGAGTATCGGATTCAGAGCCGAACCTTTGGTGTCTCTTATGCATATATTTTCAGAGCGTATTCGGTTCATCCCAACTGCTGGAAAGTATCTCATACTGTCAGCAAACGTAGAGTGGACGCTGTGACGTCTCTTGTTTGCTGGGTGGTGCTCACACATAGACTTGGAGCGCAGCAGCACTGGGGACTGCAGAGACTGGCTGCCTAGATAGCAGGAGCGTTTGTACTTTTGTTTGAGATATCCTCTCTGTCTAAGGATGTCCATGGACTTGTAGTTAATCAGATGAACCAGGTCATTGAGAAGTCCTTTCTTTACTGTCACGTCTGCTTGGCAGTCGAGGTTGAGAGCAGGGCGGTAGTTAACCTCTAGTAGCCATGGCTTATATTTGGCACCAAAGAGCTCAACACTGTTGGAACTGGAAGCTATGGAGGGGACTATGGTGAGAAAAGTTAGTGTGACAGTGTTGTTGAGCTTTTGTTCATTGATACCTTGGCTATGAAGAAAGCAGCGGAATTTACTTATAGTCCACTTTCATCCTTATCCCACTCTCTCTTTGTCGGTTGTGTAGAAGGGCCTAATGTATTGATGCTCGTGTTGGTCAGGTGAGAATAAAGGTTGTACAAAAATGACAAATTGTACTTCTCAGTCTGGCTGAGGCGCGCAAGTAGAGGTTCCAGTCTCATCATACTCCTCCCTGCCGCTCTCCAGCAGCACCTCTCTCACCAAGTCTAGGTCTCCCTCCTGTAGCTGGAACACCAGGGGTGTGGGGCTGGGGACACACACCCATGGGCAGATAAGCCGTTTGGCAATTCTAGCAAATGCCAGAAGGACCATATTTTATTGGTGTGGGCTGGTCAAAAAATATATATATATACACTACCGGTCAAAAGTTTTAGGACACCTACTCATTCAAGGGCTTTTCTTTATTTTCTACTTTGTAGAATAATAGTGAAGACATCAATCTATGAAATAACACATATGGAATCATGTAGTAACCCAAAAAGTGTTAAACAAAGAAAAATATATTTTATATTCTTCAAAGTAGCCACCCTTTGCCTTGATGACAGCTTTGCACACTCTTTGCATTCTCTCAACCAGCTTCATGAGGTAGTCATCTGGAATGCATTTCAATTAACAGATGTGCCTTGTTAAAAGTTAATTTATGGAATTGATTTCCTTCTTAATGCGTTTGAGCCAATCAGTTGTGTTGTGACAAGGTAGAGAGGGTATACAGAAGATAGCCCTATTTGGTAAAAGACCAAGTCCATATTATGGCAAGAACAGCTCAAATAAGCAAAGAGAAATTACAGTCCATCATTACTTTAAAACATGAAGGTAAGTCAATTCAGAAAATGTCAAGAACTTTGAAAGTTTGTTCAAGTGCAGATGCAAAAACCATTAAGCGCTATGCTGAAACTGGCTCTCATGAGGACCGCCACAGGAATGGAAGACCCAGAGTTACCTCTGCTGCAGAGGATAAGTTCATTGGAGTTACCAGCCTCAGAAATTGCAGCCCAAATAAATGCTTCACAGAGTTCAAGTAACAGACACATCTCAACATCAACTGTTCAGAGGAGACTGCCTGAATCAGGCCTTCAAGGCCTGAATAATAATAAGAGACTTGCTTGGGCCAAGAAACACGAGCAATGATCATTAGACTGGTGGTAATCTGTCCTTGGGTCTGATGAGTCAAAATGTGAGATTTTCGGTTCCAACCGCTGTGTCTTTCTGAGAAACAGAGTAGGTGAACGGATGATATCTGCAAGTGTGGTTCCCACCGTGAAGCATGGAGGAGGAGGTGTGATGGTGCTTTGCTGGTGACACTGTCTGTGATTTATTTAGAATTCAAGGCACAATTAACCAGCATGGCTCCCACAGCATTCTGCAGCGATACACCATTAAATCAAATCAAATGTTATTTGCCACATACGCCGAATACAACAGGTGTAGACTTTATAGTGAAATGCTTACTTACAAGCCCTTAACCAACAATCCATTGTTTTGTTAAGTAAAAAATAAAAAATAAGAGCAGCAGGAGGCTATATACAGGGGGTACCGGTACAGAGTCAATGTGCGGGGGCACCAGTTAGTTGAGGTAATTGAGGTAATATGTACATGTGGGTAGAGTTAAAGTGACTATGCATAGATAATAAACAGAGTAGCAGCAGCGTAAAAGAGGGGGTAGGGTGGGGGGGACAATGCAAATAGTCCGGGTAGCCATGATTAGCTGTTCAGGAGTCTTATGGCTTGGGGGTAGAAGCTGTTAAGAAGCCTTTTGGACCTAGACTTGGTGATCCGGTACCGCTTGCCGTGCGGTAGCAGAGAGAACAATCTATGACTAGGGTGGCAGGAATCTTTGACAATTTTTAGGGCCTTCCTCTGACACAGCCTGGTATAGAGGTCCTGGATGGCAGGAAGCTTGGCCCCAGTGATGTACTGGGCCATACGCACTACCTTCTATAGTGCCTTGCGGTCGGAGGCCGAGCAGTTGCCATACCAGGCGGTGATGTAACCAGTCAGGATGCTCTTGGTGGTGCAGCTGTATAACTTTTTGAGGACCCATGCCAAATCTTTTTAGTGTCCTGAGGGGGAATAGGCTTTGTCGTGCCCTCTTCACGACTGTCTTGGTGTGTTTGGACCATGATAGTTTGTTTGTGATGTGGACACCAAGGAACTTGACGCTCTCAACCTGTTCCACTACAGCCCCGTCAATGAGAATGGGGGCATGCTCAGTCCTCTTCTTTTTTCCTGTAGTCTACAATCATCTCCTTTGTCTTGATCACGTTGAGGGAGAGGTTGTTATCCTGGCACCACACGACCAGGTCTCTGACCTCCTCCCTATAGGCTGTCTCATAGTTGTCGGTGATCAGGCCTACCACTGCTGTGTCGTCAGCAAACTTAATGATGGTGTTGGAGTCGTGCCTGGCCATGCAGTCATGGAAGTACAGGAGGGTACTGAGCACGCACCCCTGAGGGGCCCCCGTGTTGAGGATCAGCGTGGCAGATGTGTTGTTACCTACCCTTACCACCTGGGGGTGGTCCGTCAGGAAGTCCAGGATCCAGTTGCAGAGGGAGGTGTTTAGTCCCAGGGTCCTTAGCTTAGTGATGAGCTTTGAGGGCACTATGGTGTTGAACACTGAACTGTAGTCAATGAATACCATTCTCACGAAGGTGTTCCTCTTGTCCAGGTGGGAAAGGGAAGTGTGGAGTGCAATAGAGATGGAATCATCTGTGGATCTGTTGGGGCGGTATGCAAATTGGAGTGGGTCTAGGGTTTCTGGGATAATGGTGTTGATGTGAGCTATGACCAGCCTTCAAAGCACTTCATGGCTACAGACGTGAGTGCTACGGGTCTGTAGTCATTTAGGCAGGTTATCTTAGTGTTCTTGGGCACAGGGACTATGGTGGTCCACTTGAAACATGTTGGTATTACAGACTCAGTCAGGGACATGTTGAAAATGTCAGTGAAGACACTTGCCAGTTGGTCAGCGCATGCTCTGAGTACACGTCCTGATAATCCGTCTGGCCTTGCGGCCTTGTGAATGTTGACCTGCTTAAAAGTCTTACTCACATCGGCTACGGAGAGCGAGATCACATAGTCATCCGGAACAGCTGATGCTCTCGTGCATGATTCAGTGTTGCTTGCCTTGAAGCGAGCATAGAAGTGATTTAGCTCGTCTGGTAGGCTCGTGGCACTGAGCAGCTTTCGGCTGTGCTTCCCTTTGT